TTTTATCACAGTAACCAAAGGAACTACTGGAACAGCTGCCATTAATGAGAGTGAGTAGAGAGGCTGAATGAATTGTTGTGGACAGAAGCTGCACAAGACCAAGCGATGAGGTTATATTTAACAGCAGAAGCATAGAAACTCCTGGGTATTTTATAATTTGGGCATCTACTGGTGTTTTGCAACTTCTGCTGCAGGTGCCGTAGAGGGAGACTACTGCTACCTACCTAGCTCCAACAACCTGATACAAAGTCGGGAGGATGCTCCTCCTTTGAAAAGTCCTTTTCTCCCCCTTCCCAGAGCTATACAGATCTGTTCAGGACTGCTGCTATCACTATGGTTACAGCCAGCCTCTCCAGGAGCTCTGTTTGTACCGCTGGCCCTAAGAGCAAGAGGGAGAAGCAAACCAACAGCGCTGGGCTTGATGCCGGCTTGGGCATAAACAGGATGGGGTCTGAACCTCCGCCCGGGCTGTGAAGGCAAGAGGAAAGGGCATCGAAGCTGGCTGAAGAACTGGAAGATCTGAGAAGAAAAACTGGGAAATAGGAGAACAAACGGGAAACAAGAACATAAGGAAATATGGTGAGAAAACCGTAACTTGAAGTGCATGAAAGAGTCTCCTGCATGCTTTACATCACCTGAGATATGGGCATCGGTGGTGCATAATTCTGGTGTGAGGTGTGATGAATCAGCCTCTAGACATGTCTCCTTCCCTCCATGTGGGAGCCTGAAGGTGAGATTAACAGAGACACTTTTTTCTCATTTCAAAATCAGTAAAGAATTATCTTTGGGCATTTGTCTCAAAATGGCTGTTCAGCTGGTCATTAATATATCTTCTCTCCTTTAGGGTCTTCATTATAAAGTTGAAAGCACAGTTACAGACAAGAAAAAACCCACAATTGTGCGTTATTCTTAACGGCAAGAACCCTCTCCAGCTGCTTATATGGCCCTCGTCTAGATCTCCTGGTCTAGATCCCACCAGCCAAGCTGTGAACCTGGGATTCACAGAGCCAGCACACCAGGTGACTTCTCAGGACCGAGTCTAAAACTACCTTGTCGAATGGTAACCCCAAGCCCCTCTCTATTTAGGCCTGGGCAGCTCCCTCCATGGTCTCTCCTTATTCAAGATGGTTCCTATTTCCTGTGTGGCTTTTATTAGAAACTTGAACTCCTGTTTTGTGGGGTTGTTGGGGATTTTTTTTTTGGGGGGTGGTGGTTGTTTTTAAATCCAAAAGCAATACACCTTCAGTAGATCACATCCCTTTACTCCGAATTTTAAGAGTACTGATGTCTTCTTCTTGTCTCACACTCTTAAAGCATCTTAGGTTTTCAGAAAGATCATCAGGCACCAAAAATTCAGACAATATGCTTGGCGAGAATGAGATTTGTCTGAAATACCTCTTGAGCCTCTCAGGGTCAAGTGATCCCGGTTTTGCTCAACAAAATCTTCGTATGCAGTGGTCAATGGAAGTCCATCCACTGACTTCAACAATAAATACAGAGGAGGCCCATGTAGAGCAGTACTGACCAAACAAGATACATATGTAAATAAGACACATTTTCGTAGTGGTTTGTATTCATGAGACCAGTTATTTGTTGCTGAATATGGCAGATAAATTAACATCTTAAAAATGCTTCTGAAATTGCAATCTTGCAATGTGTTCCTTTTGCATACTCCAGCTCACGACTTAGCAACCTGCTGGCTTATAACCAAAATACTGGAGGATCTCCTTATTCTTTGCATTTAAATTCAGTTTGCAATACATACATTTTAAGGCAATAGTACAGATTGCCTAACTTATCTTTTGCGTAAATATTTTGACAATATGAAAACATAACATGAACTGAGTTTTAACAATCATAGTTTTTGGTGACACAGACGAGAATCTCAGTCACAGAAACTGCTGATAACACTACAGACTAGTTCAGAAAGTATCCAGACCTTCACGTTAAACTTGCTTCAGAAGATGTACACTAGACATTAATAAAAAGTTGCATCACTAATTACATACTTTGCCTAGCATAAAGTTGAAAACTATATTGCTTGCGGCAAGTAAAGCTACTCTAAATTTCTGCCAGGTGAAATCAACAAACTCCAGAACAGTTTGTGTATTTTTTTCCTTATACTATATCAGTTAAAAAGAAAACTCCTGTCTTTTTGAAAGTCCAGCCACTCTAAACTCCTGTCAGTATCACCAAGAAGAGTTCAGAGTCGCTCCTAATGCCAGTAATGAAACATGAAGTATCTGTAGATCCCAACTGTTTCTTTCCTCTGAAATCGATTGGCACTATGACCCCAATAACTGACCATGAAGTACAGAGGGAAAACCGTGTGTGTGTGCCTCTGTTAAGACATGCTTCTAGCCCCCCCAAATCACCGCATTAATGATTACTTTCTAGGAATGGAAGTTAACATTTCTGTGGTAAATGAAACATGATGTCTAAATATTACTAAAATTTGTCTGTACTTGAACAGTAGACTATAGTAATGCTAAAGAACACAGTGGTGTATTCTATCTCTGTGCAACTCCAGCATTAATTCATTTGCCGCTCATTACTGAACAGAGCTGACAAGCACAGACACTGTGGTTATACACGTTCTCACTACTGGAATACATAAGTCCCACTTAGGGGAACATTCAGAGTTTGCAGACCCCTAATGCTTATTGATAGCAGTTAGTGCCGTACGCTTTACGTCTTTTTTGAAACGAAATCCCTCCCCGTATTCAAACATTGCATCTGAGAAAACATTTGAACCTTGAAATCCAAACTATCTGCTTTGCAAAAATGAAGGAGATTTAAGCAATATTGAAAGCCTGAAAATTTGAACACCTTTCTTCAGTGGACACAGGCACCATTTGAACAGTTATTTTGGAAGAGGTTGTCCATCGAAATGGTAACTTGAACTTTTGAGCATTGTTTTAACAGGCTTCCCAAGCTTTCAGGGTACCTAGGACTTGAAAATCTCTTGGTTGTTAGGTAAAAAAAAAAAAAGAGAAGTAGTAAAAAAGCTGCTGTTTCACGCTGTAACAGACCACAATCCCTCGTCAGTATTCTGCTCCTGGCATAGTAAATGCCCTATGTCTTTGTATGCAACACAACCCAATTATCACTTCATATGCACAAATCTTCCATACTGACTGTACATACTGTTTTCTTCAGCTAATTAATAACACGCACTTACATCATCTTCTGAAATTTGTTCTAACAGCAGCTCCAAGTAATTGCTACCAGTACCGTTTCATTTAGACCCCACCCACTTAAATCGCCGTACCCCAAAACTAAGTTCAGCCAATTTATGGTAACAGATGTATGCCACCTTTCCCAACACTCCACGGATCACTCTGTTAGGCTTCAATTACACAAGAAAATCGTGGCAACGTATCCTCCCTAGCGTAGCGCTGCGTTGTAACCAAGACCCTTAGGGTATCATGGATAACAGAAAGAAAACCTTTCTGGGGAGGTATTTCGGGTATCTTTGATAACAACGACATCATAAAAAGGTTCTGGAGAGATCTAGCGTGTGTGCAGTTTTGGGATCCCTCAATACATTATTATAAGCGTTAGGGACAGGACGACACTGCGGGCGGGGGAAGCATCAGTGGCTTCGGCTCCCCCCAACCTCCGGGCATCGCGGATCC